GTTTGGACTCTGTTTGATATTCTTTTTCTGCGAAACTCTGAAATAGGCAAAAAACAGCAATTCTGGGCTGGGCCTCCGGTTAATAGGTTAGTCCCAAAAATAATATAAAAGTATATAATAATGTCCAAAACAGAATATAATATAGCATGGAAAAAATTATAGATATGTTGGAGACGTATCAAGCATCCCCAAACTTAATTCCTGCTCGTCCTCGAGTAGGTAAATGATAAGAAAAGAATTCTTGATGTGGAATGCTACTTGGCATAATTTCAATGTAATTTTTTTAATTGTGGTATGAATATTCAAATCCGAAAGATTCAAGACAAGAGTTTAATATTGACATAAAAATAATAATACTTCAAGCATACTAACTAAGCAATTTTATCTTCTCAAAATAACATGGCCAAAGAAAGTTATCCCTACAAAATCATATATTCTGACTATGCTCTATCTTCACCACACAAAGTATTTAAATCATGCACAACCCCGATGACAAGTCAAGCAATTGTTTCATACTTTTGGTGTTCTCAAACTTTTTTGATCTTCACGCAATACATGGGCGTGAGCCATGGACATAGCACTATATGTGGAATAGAATGGTGGTTGTGGAGAAGACAAAAAGGAGAAGATAGTCTCACATCAACTAGGCATATCAACGGGCTATGAAGATACCCATTAATATGTTGGAAATATGCCCTAGAGGCAATAATAAATTGGTTATTATTATATTTCCTTGTTCATGATAATCGTTTATTATCCATGCCCTAGAGGAAACTCAGATACATGTGTGGATACATAGACAACACCATGTCCCTAGTAAGCCTCTAGTTGACTAGCTCGTTGATCAATAGATGGTTACGGTTTCCTGACCATGGACATTGGATGTCGTTGATAACGGGATACACAAGACCCAATCCTAAGCCTAGCACAAGATCATGTAGTTCGTTTGCTAAAGCTTTTCTAATGTCAAGTATCATTTCCTTAGACCATGAGATTGTGCAACTCCCGGATATCGTAGGAGTGCTTTGGGTGTGCCAAACGTCACAACGTAACTGGGTGGCTATAAAGGTACACTACAGGTATCTCCGAAAGTGTCTGTTGGGTTGGCACGAATCGAGACTGGGATTTGTCACTCCGTGTAAACGGAGAGGTATCTCTGGGCTCACTCGGTAGGACATCATCATAATGTGCACAATGTGATCAAGGAGTTGATCACGGGATGATGTGTTACAGAACGAGTAAAGAGACTTGCTGGTAACGAGATTGAACAAGGTATCGGGATACCGACGATCGAATCTCGGGCAAGTATCGTACCGATAGACAAAGGGAAATGTATACGGGATTGATTGAATCCGCGACATCGTGGTTCATTCGATGAGATCATCGTGGAACATGTGGGAGGCAACATGGGTATCCAGATCCCGCTGTTGGTTATTGACTGGAGAGTTATCTCGGTCATGTCTGCATGGTTCCCGAACCCGTAGGGTCTACACACTTAAGGTTTGATGACGCTAGGGTTATAGGGAATAGATATACGTGATTACCGAATGTTGTTCGGAGTCCTGGGTGAGATCCCGGACGTCACGAGGAGTTCCGGAATGGTCCGGAGGTAAAGATTTATATATGGGAAGTCCTGTTTTGGTCGCCGGAAAATTTTTGGGTTTTATCGGTAATGTACCGGGACTACCGGGAGGGTCCCGGTGGTCCACCAAGTGGGGCCACCAGCCCCGGAGGGCTGCATGGGCCAAGTGTGGGAGGGGACCAGCCCCTGGTGGGCTGGTGCGCCCCCCCCCCACCAAGGCCCAAGGCGCAAGGGAGAGTGGAAGGGGGCAAACCCTAGGCTCAGATGGGCCTAAGGCCCACCTAGTGGTGCGCCCCCCTCTCTCCTCCCTTGGCCGCCCCCCTTAGATGGGATCTAGGGCTGGCCGCCACCCCTAGGGGTGGAAACCTAGGTGGGGGCGCAGCCCCTCCCCTCCCCCTATATATACTTGAGGTTTTGGGCTGCCATAGACACGATTGAATCTCCTTCTTGGCGCAGCCCTACCCCTCTCCCTCCTCGTCTCTTGCGGTGCTTGGCGAAGCCCTGTTGGAGTACCACGCTCCTCCACCACCACCACGCCGTCGTGCTGCTGCTGGATGGAGTCTTCCCCAACCTCTCCTTCTCCCCTTGCTGGATCAAGGCGTAGGAGACGTCACCGGGCTGTACGTGTGTTGAACACGGAGGTGCCGTCCGTTCGGCACTAGGATCATCGGCGATTTGGATCACGACGAGTACGACTCCATCAACCCCGTTCACTTGAACGCTTCCGCTTAGTGATCTACAAGGGTATGTAGATGCACTCTCCTTCCCCTCGTTGCTAGATTACTCCATAGATTGATCTTGGTGATGCGTAGAAAATTTTAAATTTCTGCTACGTTCCCCAACATAATAGATATCAATGTGAGTGAATAGGGATTGTCATGCAACGGATGCACTAGAGCTATAAGTATATGAAAGCTCAACAAAAGGAACTGAGTGGGTGTGCATCCAACTCGCTTGCTCACGAAGACCTAGGGCATTTTGAGGAAGCTCATCATTGGAATATACAAGCCAAGTTCTATAATGAAAAATTCCCACTAGTATATGAAAGTGATATCATAGGAGACTCACTATCATGAAGATCATGGTGCTACTTTGAAGCACAAGTGTGGTAAGAGGATAGTAGCATTGTCCCTTCTCTCTTTTTCTCTCATCATTTTTTTATTTGGGCCTTTTCTCTCTCTCTCTCTTTTATGGCCTCCTTTTTTTAGTCCGGAGTCTCATCCCGACTTGTGCGGGAATCATAGTCTCCATCATCCTTTCCTCACTTGGGACAATGCTCTAATAATGATGATCATCACACTTTTATTTACTTACAACTCAACAATTACAACTCAATACTTAGAACAAAATATGACTCTATGTGAATGCCTCCGGCGGTGTACCGAGATATGCAATGAATCAAGAGTGACATGTATGAAAGAATTATGAACGGTGGCTTTGCCACCAATACAATGTCAACTACATGATCATGCAAAGCAATATGACAATGATGGAGCGTGTCATAATAAACGGAACGGTGGTAAGTTGCATGGCAATATATCTCGGAATGGCTATGAAAATGCCATGATAGGTAGGTATTGTGGTTGTTTTGAGGAAGATATATGGTGGGTGTATGATACTGGCGAAAAGTGCGCGGTATTAGAGAGGCTAGCAATGGTGGAAGGAAGAAAGTGTATAATCCATGGACTCAACATTAGTCATAAAGAACTCATATACTTATTGCAAAAATCTACAAGTTATCAAAGCAAAGTATTACACGCATGCTCCTAGGAGGGATAGATTGGTAGGAAAAAACCATCGCTCGTCCCCGACCGCCACTCATAAGGGGGATAAATTATTCCAAGTCGTACTATATTTACATTGGTTTTTATTTCGTACGGCATCAGACAAAATAAACAGTAATTCAAAGTGGGGGTGGGCAGGAGGAGAGAAAAACGAGTTAGGAAGTGAGATGAACCGGTGGGAGGAGACGCCTGTGGAAAGGGGATTAACTGGAGTGGAGGTGACGAACCGAACTCTCCATTGATAGTAGAGATTAGGGGGCCTAGGACTTCATGTGTTTCATCATGCATTTCACACTACACCACAACTAACATCAAACACTCATATCATTTTACATCATTTAAGTGTACCTTGTGTTCACAATTCTTCCGTGACAACAAAAATAATATACATGAAGTCAAGATGTTTCCGCATGAGCTATTTTCGAAAACAAATGAGCACCTTCTAGAATAACACCCCTCTGCTATATATACGCTTTCATAACTTGTTTGAAAAGAGAACAACATGTGTAGGTTTAGCGTGATAATCCTCGCAAATGATTCATGCTATAAGCTTATATTTCTTCACATCCCCGTCTAATATATCTTCTAGCTATGAGATATGTGAGGAAAACAAAGAAAACTGGAAGGCATCTCATTATTTTTGCTTATCTGCACTTGTGGCAGGCACTTTTAATTATACTCTTTACTTATGATACCTTTTCAAGCGGCTTTGGTAGTGTCTTCTAGCGAGTTGATAATATGGTTTCATGAATGGAAATACCATGCATCATGATAGAAACATGAAACATATCATAGCAGTCAACATCGCGTGTGAGTTCTACCAACAGGAAGGGTGTTCAGAGTCATCGTGATCGTGTGAGCAAGTCCATTCCTCTAAATTCAACATTACAATATGTGATTTTGTATGTGACGAGACTTCCTTTTGACAAGGGCACTCAAATTACAGGGGCTTGCATGTTTCTCTAGTAGAGGTATAGGTTTCGTCGCTAACCTTGTAATAAGTAGAATGATCGTATGAATGCAAACTTCATACTCGAGTATTTGTTTCTGCAGGAAAAAAAACTCAAGTATTTGTTACCAGCATCTGTGGTTTCAGAAACAAACTGGGACACATTTTTGTGTTCTTTTCTCATTTATGAAGACGTGTTTTTGTGTGACTGGTGGAATTATGGTAGGGGCGTAGTACTTTCTTCGTCTGAAAATACTTGTCATTAATCAAAATAAATAAAAGGTGATGTATTTAAACATATATTATTTTCGGACTGAGGGAGTATTTTTTTTCTATTTTTGAGAACTGGTAGGGGCGTAGGGTAGTCCCACCCACCAGTGACGAATAAAGAAGCAACGTAATCCACCGGCGGCGCCTGCCGGCCGGCGCGCTTCGCCGTCGCTCCGTCCGGCCAGCGGGCGATGGTTCCAGAGCCAAAACGCAACGGCACGGGGTAGGGTGAGTATTCGATCCAACCGCACGGCACGCCCACGCCCCGCACGCTGCCGCCATCGCCGTCACGCCTCCCACGCCCGCACTAATTTCTCCTGCCCGCACCCTTCATCGGCACAAACCGCCGCCCCTTTGCACTGCCAGCCGCGCCGCCGATCGATCGCTTCTTCTTAGTTGACTCCGCGCTGTCCTGATGGCCCCGCCTCCCCCTGCTCCTGCTGCTGCGGCGGCGGCGGCGAGGGCCGGCGGGCTGGTGCTGTGGCTGCACGGCTCCGCCGAGACGGGCGAGCAGAGCCGCGGCCAGATCGCGCCCTACTTCTCCGCCGCCCCCGCCCTCCGCCTCTCCTTCCCCACCGCCCCCATCGCCTGCGTTGGTACGCTCGCTCACCCAACATTTGCTGCTCCTGATTCGATGGATTTGATTCAGTTGCTCGATCGATTTGCGGTGTTGCTGCTGCAGGTGACTTGGTGCTCAATGCGTGGTTCGGCATCCCGGAGGTCCCCATAACCGCTGTAATTCCCTGCTTGATAACCCAGAAGTATTTGCTTGCTGTTGAGTCATATAAGAATACTGCATCCACTTGCAGTCTCTCTTCAGTACTATACATATTTGTTGATCCACAACAGCCTAGGTTGCTGCTAAAACCTGGCTAGTGTTACTTGCCGAGGATGCAATCTGCTTGCTACAAACTTTGTTTCCGACACTAAATAATCAGTACACTGAAGCTGCTAGTGCTATTGGCGAGTCAATTTAGAGGACTATTACAAAGTAAATATGGTTGAAGAACAATAAGTTAGCATCTTTTGCGCTCCCAGTCTGTCGCTATAGAACAACATGTCATCATTTTCTCATCGGTTTGAAGATTTAAAATGTAGTGTAAGTTCTTGAGCACTTTGCATTATAACGAACCTCTTGCACCAATTTAACCCTTTTAGAATCAACATGACCATTCAAGGACATCAGTGTACAAGTTACAAGAGCAGAGTGCAGCCTGGATATACTGAACAGGGTGGATTGTTCTTCTAATGTTCTACTACTTCTGTATCCTTGAATTAGACCACAAAATCGGATAAAGAACAGATAAAGTGTCCCAAGTCTCCAAGCATTTATAGTCTGATACCTCACTTGCTATTATACCATTAATTATGATTTATTTTGCTCATTCTGTTCACACTTTCCTTCTTAGACCACTGTTAGAGACGAGGAAGAGGTCCTAGAAGCTGTTGAGCGTGTACACGAAATGTTAGACAAAGAAGTGGCTGCCGGAACATGTCCTACGAACATTTTTGTTTGTGGGTTAAGCCAAGGAGGTAAATCACTGAAACCTACATCTATTATATTGTTTCCAAGGCAGTTACATACTGTAAAAAAATTGATTTCCATTCTGTCTACACAGGCGCTCTAGCCATAGCAAGTGTTCTGCTCTACCCCAAGACTTTAGGTGGGTGTGCTGTTTTCAGTGGTTCAGTTCCTCTGAGCAAATCATTTGCTGACAGGGTGACACCTGAAGCCAGAAAGGTAACAGCAGCCCAGCAACCATTCTTAAGCTAAATATATTTCGTAGCTGAATCCTCTTGCAAATGTCTTGTCTCTGAATTCTTGCAAACCTGCAGACTCCGGTTTTATGGTTCCATGGGATGGCAGACGGGGTGGTACTATTCGAAGCCGGGCATGCCGGGTGCGCATTTCTCCAAGAGCTTGGCATGACCTGCGAATTCAAGGTGCTAGAAAATCATACCTGAAGTCATAACCGTTGAATTGGAGCTTCGGTTTTAGCTTCTCTGACTATTTTTCTTCAATATTATCAGACTTATCCGACCCTTGGGCACTTGCTTGTGGATGAAGAGCTCCAGTATTTTCGACGATGGATATTCGATCGTCTAGGGATTTCTCAAGGAACTGAAGCTGCAAGACCGTCGTCATCATCGTTGTCGAACCACGAAGATCTACACTAGCTAGGGTGCTTCACAAACTTACTGGCACCATTTCTAGGTGGCACGTTGCTACCACATACCTGACCTGAATCTCAGTTTATCTTGCCACACGAATGCTTTGGAAGACATGATCCAATGGAAGTTGTTTTTTATGATATCCAAGGAAAGGATTATGATATACTATTACAGTTGACTTGCTCTTTTTCGTGTGCCTGATTGATGACTTGCTCTGTTATTCGTTGATGCTTCGGTTAACTGTCACGTGAATCTGACATGGCCGGTGGCTCATCGATGATGTTCTCTTATTCATGTTATCTTTGCAATCGTCAAAATCGGGTAAATTTTTGCTTCTGATTGGCAGTGATTTTTCTACCACTCTCTAAGCACAAGCGCACAGGCTGACGAGCTACTTCGGCCCGGCCCGGCCCATATGACCCATGAGTAGACGCGTCCGCTTCCTCTTCTCCATCGCCGCAGCCATCGCCGCGGCCTCCCTCCTCGCCGCCTCGCTCCGCCGCCGCGCGCAGCCGCCCCGCCTCCCCGGCCCCATGGCGGCCCGCAACCGGAGCTTCGTGCTGTGGCTGCACGGCCTCGGCGACTCCGGCCCCGCCAACGAGCCCATCCGCACCTTCTTCGCCGCGCCGGAGTTCCGCCACACCAAGTGGGCGTTCCCCTCCGCCCCCAACTCCCCCGTCTCCTGCAACAGTACGCCTCCCCTCCGTCCACCGTCACAGCCCCATCGAAGTTTTTGGGGGAAGGGTGCTTCGATTCATCAAATTAGCATCACCTGATTCTGAAGATCACTTGTTGTTTTTGCAGATGGCGCCGTGATGCCATCATGGTTCGATATCCACGAGCTGCCTTTGAGCCCTGTGAGTTAACTCATCAACCCACTCAGTCCCTCCCGCTTGTATTCGCGGAAGGGAGGCAAGTAACTGTACCAGTAGAAATTGATCTGGCTCAAATCTGTAAATATTAGGGTTCGCCGCAAGATGAGAGCGGTGTTCTTAAGGCTGTGGAGAATGTGCACGCCATGATCGACAGGGAGGTGGCCGCTGGCATCCATCCTGACAACATATTTGTGTGCGGGTTCAGTCAGGGAGGTAGGATTGTTGCATGGGTGTTGGATATATTCTGAAGATCACAAATTTTTGTGCCGTGAATTGATACGTATTGGATTTTGTGTCAAACTGCAGGTGCTCTGACATTAGCAAGTGTTTTGCTTTATCCGAAGACGCTAGGTGGTGGTGCCGTGTTCAGTGGCTGGGTCCCTTTCGGTTCGTCGGTCATTGAGAGGATTTCACCCGAAGCAAGGAAGGTATGTCACACAGTCATCCCTTGATGCCTTCTCCTTAGTTTAGCGCACAATAACTAGATGTTGTGTAAGCTTCAATTTATTGGTTGGTATGAAACTGAACGCTGGTCAACAAGAGATGTGGTTGGTGATGTTTATGACTTTATGTGCAGCCTTGTCATTGCCTTTGAATAGAAATATTTCTTATCTCTTGATGCCTTCTCCTTAGTTTAGCACACAATAACAAGATGTGAGGAAGCTTAGATTTATTGGTTGGTATTAAATTGAACGCTAGTCAACAAAAGATGAGGTTGGTGATGTTTATGTACAGCCTTGTCACTACCTTTTGAATAGAAATATAGCCTTCTCCTTAGTTTCAGCACACAGTCACAAGATGTGAGAAAGCCAAAATTCATTGGTTGGTATAAACTTGAACGCTAGTCAACAAGAGATGTGGTTGGTGATGTTTATGTACAGCCTAGTCATTGCTTTTTGAATAGAAATATTTCTTATCACGTGCCCGAGCACTGCCGGAACTCTGCCTACACTAGTATGGCCATACCAAGGATCCCTCATCTACAGATTTCTTCAATTTTAATTGGATTGCTTCTACACCTGGAACGGAACGATGTAGTTTTTGCAATAATTCCTGATCAACATGAGCATACTCAACAATTGAGCTATGGAGTATAGTTTTGGCACCTAATATATTAGATTGAACTAGTCTGTGAAAACAGCTGGAAGACCAAAATGTACTGACCTCAACATTGCCAAATGAAATTCACTACATTTGAACTTCAGTTATTTCATAGTTGGTACCTAAAACTTAATATCCAGTGCTGCCTCTTGGATAAGAAATATGGCAATACACCTACTGTGATCCAACCTTACATATAAAATTATTACATTTAGGAGGACGAAGCAACTTTGCCCACCTTAGGACTGTTACACCATATCAACTTTTGTATTTTAACCAGTCAACGACGCTATTGTCCACAAAAAAGATAAATGGCATTGAACTTTGAAGGATGCCATCAGCATTTTTACTTGTGATGTTCCTTTCGTATGTAAACCTTCATGAACCTGTGAGTGATATGATCTCTGACACTATCCTAACAGTCTTGACAGTAAAATCATATAGTGTTGACTCTTCTATACGAGAATGTATGGATAAAAACACGCAGATTGCAGGCATTTGTTAAACATACTTGATGCAATTAGCCTGATTGATCGAAGGAAGCACTTGCCAAAAAAATTAGTAAACTTTGAAGAATGCTAGATGAGCCCTTCAATACATGAATAGGAGTTTGACAGTAAATTTGAACTCTTTATAAGAGCATTAATTTTGTTTGGCTGAATTTTTTCCTGGAACTTTTCAGACACCTATTCTGTGGTCGCATGGAATAGCTGATCAAGTGGTATTATTTGAAGCCGGTCAGGCCGGCCCACCATTTTTGCAAAGTGCAGGCATCAGTTGTGAATTTAAGGTAATCTTCTACATCCTCTTTTCCCCCTTCTCCAGGCAAGCTTCGGTTCCATATTTCTTCATACAACTTTTCGGTTCCTATCTGAGCTCTCAACTGCTCATGCACATTTATCAGGCATACCCAAATCTAGGCCACTCGATCGCAAAGGAAGAGCTATCCTCTCTCGAGGCGTGGATCAAGGGTCGTCTCAAAGCCTCACAAGATAAGCAAAGTTAACGTCCTTCAGTTTGGGCCGCCGTCACGTTCCCCACCATAGCAAAACTGGCTAATGCAGCCGTACTGAACCTGTATTCCCTGGTATATTGATGAACTCGGACGATCCAAACTATTCTTGAGACTTTGTCATGCACTCATGCTCATGAATGTCTCCGCGGATGCATCACTGATGTTCCAGGAAATTATGTACTGCGGTATGTTGTTTCTTTCTCCTGTAGGTTTGACCTGGTACTACCTGGATACCGTTGTACAGGTATCCTCTCTGCTTAGAATCTGCCTATCGACACGGTCCATTGTAGCTTTCAGTTTCCACACTTTTGAGCGTATCTTACATCGGTTGAATATCATACGGTGTATGCACGGCATGTAGTAGAACTTGTCCTTTATTGTTAGTAAGATACCACTGGGATTCTGAACCGACGTTGGATGTACCGAAATCCATGCCCTTTCTAGTCATTTGTGTAAATGGAGCTCATGTCTTTGCTACAAAGAGAAGAACTTCATGTCCTCTTCCCTGTGGATGCGTTTTTTCCGGACAAAATGTTTCTCCCTGCGGATGTGTTTCTTCTCGACAAAATCGTTTGAAGGCGTTGATGATTATGGTTCTGGTTTGCATTATTTTCCCTTTCTATGGCCGAGTCAGAGGCGTTGGCCATTTTGTGTTCCTTTCCAGAGCTACACGGGGACCGGGCAGTTTGATTGATTTGCCGCGCTTACCATGACCATTTCAATGAGGACCAACGAAGTTTTGATCACCAGGCAATGCATGCCCTGGACTTTTGTTGCGGCTACGAGCTGTAGATATGAATGAATATACGTGCATTGGAGACTCGTGTAGTCTTGTTCAACTTTGGAGTGATGGTGGAACGCAAACAGTCCAAATCTCACCAGTAACATTGACCAGGAAATGGAAACGATCCACTCACGGTATGATATAAGTACGTGGCAAGAGGGAGGGCAGAGGGCAGCAACCACTCCTGCGCCAACAAACACGACACCAAAGATGGCCAAAACCCAGCTTGTCTTGTGCATGCTCGTGGCCTTCTTCCTCGTCCTCGCCATGGAGGTTGCTGCCGCTAGGAAACTACAGGAAACAGGCACGGGATCTCATCTCTCTCTCCCTCCCTTCCTCTGTATGTGTGTCTGCACTTGTAAACATGATCAATGCTTTGCTTCTTTGCTTGCTTCAGGTGATCCCTACAAGGGCACGTATCCTGAAATGGGTTATCCAACTGGACCGCCACCATAGTCCATAGGTCTCCGCGAATATTTCTAGTACAACATATTTATACATACACGCATCTTCTTAGTTTCATGAGAAATAAACGACATGTATGTATATATGTCCATCTTTTTCTACCTACAACTGGATCTGCTGGATGAAATGGTTGGTTCTTGCACGCGGTGCAATGCAAGTTTTCTTTTTACAGCTTATCATCAGAACAAGTTTGTATCGAACGAATGGAGCGGAGTTGCCTCTCGTGTCAACTTTTGTCCATCGCTTGGAAACTGAGGTTAGGAATGTCTTACGAATAAGAAAACTATAAAAATAAGATGGCTTAAATCAAGCTCAGTCCTCCTATCCTACATACAAATAGGATTTCTGATCTATTTCTACAAGCCAAAGGGCTTAAAAAAAGTCCTACAAAATTCCTCTAAACCAAAGAAGGCATGAAACAACGAAATGGATAGTCACAATGAGATCAACAAATCTTCTCCTACTTTCCATTACACATAATCATAAAAAAAAAGCATGAAGACCACTTGAAACAAAGGACCAAAAATCGGTTAGTTGCTTAAAAACAAATCTTTGTCCGTTAGCATTGTTGTGATCGGCCCACACGTCGCTCGTGGGTTACTCATACCTCTAGGTTGCCGCCTCTAGTGCTCCCTCCTCCGTGTCACCTCCACTTGTCGTCGTGGGGCAAAGCTCAAGTGGAAGGCGGTCGGGAGAGGGGGGAAGCTCTAATGGGAGCGACAACGTAAAGCAAGGACCCACCTCCTAAAACTAAATGTTACTTGAAATCCTCAGCTCTAGATGTTTGTTCACATGGATATGGATTCCCAGAAACCATAATTGTCTTTATGCACAAGCAGATACATTTCTTATGCAGCCAGAAGAAAGCAAAATCATTAAAACTATCAAGAATAGATGCAAATGATAATGTCGGTGGTAATGTTGTCTTGCACGCGAAGGGCATTGACCCGATGGATGACATACCAAGTGTCGTTTGTGCCCGGTCAGGATTTGATGCCTTAGTTGTGGGTCACATGCAAAAGATGTACCTGAGTTCAAGCTTCTTCAGACATATCTTTACTAAGTAGTATTTTGCTCTAAAGGACGCCACGAAGTTTGTATGTGTTATGCAATGAAGAATTTTGTGATTCCGAACATGAAGAAGGCTCCTGATGAGGAGACAAAAGTATCACACTCATTGATGGATGACACAAAGAAGATTATTCTTGGTTCTTAGAAGGCCAAGGTGAAGTTCAAGGCCGAAAAATATTAACATCGAACCGGCATAGCACGACCACACTTGTAGTGACACAAGCATCACGTGTGCTACACATAATGCTATGGCAACCAACAAGGCTGCCGATGACCAATGTCAATCCCGCTATGTGCGAATTTCGCTCCAAGAACAAAGAAGAAAAGAATGTGCCCATCGAACAACATGCAACTTGAAAACAATCAACAATCAAAAGAAACAAAAAACACAGAGAAATATTTAAAAGGAAAATAGCGGTGAAACACGTGTACCCTTGATGTTCCAGGAACTTCTGTACTACCGTATGTTTTTGTTGTAGTTTCGACCCGGTGCCTGGATATGCTTGAAGAACTGTGCAGGCATCTTGGATCCTGCCTATCGATGATGTCCGTTGTTGCATGCTTCCCACTTTTAGTTCAGTTCCAACGACCTCATTCCAGAAACCATGGCATATCATACAAGTACTCATATGGAGAAATGCCCTTTGATTCTTGGGTGTATATACACCTGATATGGGGAAAAAATATAAAAAGTCAAAAGAAGTTTAGAAGTTTTTTAGAATAAATTGACTTTCTATTGCACTAGTATATAAATTTTCATGAATAAAAAACCAACGTTGATTTCCGGGCAAAAAAACGAAATTTATTGCTATTATAGATCACTATTCACACTATTTTGACCATTTTTTTTGTTTTTTTAAGAAGTCAATGGGGTTTTTTCCATTTTGTGGAAAAAATTATAAGTACAAGGGAAGGTCAAGTTTATTTTTAAAAAAATCAGAACTTTGTTTTACTTTTAATTTAATTATATTTTTTTACTTTGCAAGCAGCACGGCACGTAGAGCTTTGTCCTTTATTTGTACTAAGATACTGCTAGTCGGATTCCTCCGCCGATATTGGATATACTCAGGGGCGGAGCCAGAAAATTTGGCCAATTGGTTCACTCAGTACCTCACTGTAAGGATTTAGTATGGGTTAATTAAGTGTAACGTTCAATTTCATACTAACTTACAATAGGAGCACGTCACTTAAAAGACATGTGGCGAGTAGAAATATGATATCGATTATCACATATGGCAGTTACATATAGAAGTGGAGAGTGCAAGACATACCGATTGTGCGAAATTATAAAATCTCTTGTTGACATATTATAAACAGAGTAGCACCAAAATAACTTCATAGCTTCAAGTGCAGCTTCTCATCTTCCTAAAATATATTGGAGAAAATGACAAGTTACTTTAACAAGTTCAAAATAAATACCATCAAGCCAAAGAGGCATATAAACAAGTAATTTTAAGCCTAATTTGACTCTGGTTTTTATGAAAGATCAGTTTGCTTATCATTGGCAACCTGAATTGATTGATCTTGATTCATCAAAGCATCACATTTTTTACTGTTATATTATGAAAGCTATTAACATTACCTTTACCCACATGGGTATTTTGTCGCCTTTTTTGTTCCAATTGCTCCAACCTTTAGTTGCAAGTGCATCACTCCCAGCTTGTCTCTCATCGTAATCACTAAATCCGATCAGCCAGATCATCTAAACTAATTTCTCCATGTATAAAAAGCCTTGGGAGATTATTTGCAACAGTGACATTTGATGTACACTTTGCTTACATTGAGTGACCTTAAAGTGCCTGCAGCATTATCTGAATCTGATGATCGATTCATTATTGGAAAACATCGCTCTAACCCACACCAATTAAAGTTCAGGGAAAAGCAACTAAAACATTTAGGGCAAAGAGTAATACCATCATCCAGTGTACTAGGCTCCAAGCCTCCAACACATGTACAAGGCCCTGTAACAAGGGTGATGATGTGACCTCGTCACCTTCAATTTGGACTTCAATTGTCAGCCGCTGCCGACGGCCGACCTGCTGTTGCCGGCTTGCCGCTGGCCACCGCAATAGAGAGACGAGGAGACGAGATCGAAAGAGTTGCCGGGTTGGGAAACAAATTGGGGGAAAACGAGAGGCGTGCGTATCTGGTATGGAATCGAGCGGTCGAGGACTGCGTCGATGCCATCGTATGGCATTACATTTACCTCTGGGCTTCTTTTATTTTTTGTGAAATATCTGTATCATTCTGTAGGCTTTTGGTTGGACTACTGATGTTATAAAGAATTTATTATTATGGGCTGAGAGGCTTCTGGCGGGTGCGTCTTAGCTTGATGGGTTCAGCCGTGATTTTCTATTGGGTTCAGGCAAGTGCCAACATGTATACATGTACGTGGTGTGAAAAATCTGTTGGGTTCATCTGAACCCAACACCTACACGCTGGCTCCGCCGCTGGACCATAGCTGGCCAAACGGGCCGGCCCGGCCCGACACGGCACGGCCCATCTTAATCGTGCCTGGCACGGCACGGCCCGCCAGGGCACGATTATTAGTCGGGCCGTACCGTGCCGGCCCGCGTTCTGCCCCCTCCGGCCCAAGCACGGCCCAGGAGCCAAACGGGCCGGTCCGATGGCACGCCAGGCACGCTGGCCCACTAGCTTGATGGCCTGCTAG